CGAATGACGAAGGTAGTTTAGTAGACACAAATTCGTCAGATGGACATGGTGATATTGATTTCGCTACTAGAATAGAGAGGGAGTGTTTATGGATTTGGCTTAAGCTTTGGCAAAATTTATCCTAAGCATCCATCCAGTACATTGATTTTCTTTTGTATTCTGTTTGATTAGAGCTTGTGCTACTTTGGTTACTATCCCTATTCGATAAATGATCCAATAGATGTTACTAGCTTTTGTAATTTAAGACTTATTAGTGGTAGACTTTAATCTAGCTAGGTTTGTGACTGGTATTATAAAATGGTTATTTTTTTCGCAAAAATATAAGTTAATATCTAAATATTACCAGTACGTTTCAACACAAATCCCCTTCAAAACACCATACTTTCTACTCTTCACTGCTGAAAGGCTACTTAACTTAAAGACGTCCTTAAGTCTTTCTGTCGCTACAAGACATCTTAGGAGTAAGGGAGATAGCACGAGACTTAAAACTCTGTTACTTCCAAGTCCCGGCTTATAACGCTGACACAAGCTGATGATTGGTTATAATTTTCTGACAGTGTTACCAACATTAAAATTCAAACTTAATTTTTCAATGCCAAAAGCCTAAGTGTCAAGAATTTCTTTAAAAAAAGTATACCAAGGTTAAATTTTAAGCCTTGTTTTAATAATTTAAATACTCTTTACATGTGTTTGTCTCCCGTTCACAGATAGCTACCAGGAAGAGTGTAATTACATTAGTTTAACGTGTAGGTGCGCACACAAGCGCACAGTGCCGCAATATTTGCACAACAGCTTTATCTAACGTCAAGAGCAACAGACGTGTTTAATGTCGCATCTGTACAAAATATAATACAAATAATACCACTGTTTGTCAGTTTGTGTGTCTTAGTTTTTAGTGTATGGGACGTGAGAATTGTCCATGACGTGTTAACTGGTAACATTGGTCATATATGACATATAACACCCACGCCTCACGTGGGTGAGGTAAAAGCTGATATCAGAAGTTACCAGATTTGTTTGTGCTAATTATAACTTTAGCCTCGGGTACACGACTCAAATTACTCTTAATATACCTAATAATTATTATCAAAATAAATTTGTTGATCAGAAAATTTACCTTCATAAAGACAGGCTCAAAGACGTGACTCTAACCAAAAGATCGTCACTAAACTGCTCCTAATTCATTTAGATACCAGGGTAGCAACATAGCAAGGAGCTAATTGTCAAAAGCAGATAACTCAAACTCAATGACTTAGGAAAACCTACCAACTTATCACCCCTTATCATCCTTAATATTTTTATCGTAAAATAAATATCAAACAATCTTTCCTTGATCTAAATATTATACAATTACTCTAATGACATATTTTAATTAATAATTAAATGTTTGTGTAGTTGTATCTTAACAAATCTACGTGAGATAATAACCTAAAAAATACGTGCAAGTAAATAAATCATGACACATGTATCGTTAAGACTTTAAACACGTGTTGTGTTTTACTTGTTTGTTCTATATGATAAGGAATACCATGTTTTATGCTTCAAGAGTTAACGGCAATCTCATTTAATTATTTTATTTGATACATTAGTCTGCACTAAGATAACATATTTCGTTTGGAACTACCAACATTTGGTTCAGAAGTACCGTCGCGGTTGTGGACGCTTCATCTCGGAAAGTTTTATGTATCAGTGCTTGAAACATACTCGAAGTTAATTTGGATTTTGTGTCTTATGCTCTGTGATTGTGCAATTTAGACGTATGTATTTTTAATTTAGATTTTACATTGACTTCTGTCTTGTGTTTAAAAGTTGTCAGTTATGCCCATTCTTCGTCAGTTATCCGGTTGCTTTTGCAGTCGTGTCTTCTTACCAAACGGTCCACTAACTTCTTCAAGATGCACCGCAACCAACGTCCAATTATCCAATAATATGACGTCCAAAACAAATAAGATTTGTTTTGCCAGACGTAATGCGTCACAGTACGACACTTGACAAATATTAGCACACTTGCTTACCCCGCCTCACGACCTTATCGCTGTTTGAACTAGCTCTTACACCCTACCCCTCTTGGGCCCATCCCAGATACAGGGATCTTAAGGACGTTTAGATAAAATCTTCTAAGCATTTCGTCTTAATTTTGGCGAGCCCTAAAGTCTGATGGCCGGCCATAACATCCCAAACGATCCTTGAACAATTTGTTTGATAATATCCAAATTTAGGCTGTGAAAAATCAATTACCAACTATTTGAAACTTCACTAAAATATATTGATAAAGTTGTAAAGGAGAGGTAATAAATTACAGAGGCATTCAGCTATAGCGTAATTATACGACTCGTTTCTGATATCGAAAATCAATTCTGTATAGAAAAGGACTTGCGTGAAGGTATTTCAGTAATCTTACACCGAACGCCCGTGTTATACATATTTATTATAGTTTCTAAGCGTCTACTACGAAACGTAGTACTTACTCACACATAAAATGTTACAATGTCGACGTTGTTGTACTATCTAGCTACATGATTACTTTGGTGACGATGTCGTAAATGTTGTCTATTACGATTATGACACATCCTCGTCTATTTATAAACGATAATAAAGACACTAATCACTTTTATTCAGCGATCTATTTTCAATGAAATAAACGAACCAAAGAAATGCTCTTTCCAAACATGAATCTAAAGTTTCGATTAACTAACTAGGATTCCACGTGAGTTCGATTTGTTTTACACCCAAGGGAGCTGTCTGGTTGGAATAAAATAAATGAGGCTATAAGCTCCCTCTGTGTAAAGTTGGACTCGTCCAAGGATTTAGGAGCTGTAGCAATGAATCAATGCTAAAATACAAGCAATTACACGAATCAATTTGATTTGTAACTGTCGGACGATACTGATTATTCACAAGGTACAATAAACAGAAATAATATTACTGCCAGAATCAAAACTTCACACAAGTGCAAATGTTTCTAACCAATTGTGTTTCGAATCACACCCCAGAACTTGCACAAAGTTATTTGCTCAACGTTATCCCATAAACCAGTAATCTGAACTCGCAACACCAAGTTTAGTGTAAACTCTAATACCCGGGAGATATTCCAGCTGTACAATAATTAATTCTCCACTGAAGCCAATACGACTGGCTTTAAATACATGCACTGAGATTCTGGCCTAGACAAAGGCATGCTCCACATTGCCCACAGTACTGGTTGGGTTCACAAGCAAATCTATTGTGATCTACGCTCACGGACCGCTGCGTTATTCTCTCGTGTATGAACAGAACAATATCATTCAGTTGTTCTATTACCGCTCTGACGTAAAAAGCTCAGTAGTAAATAGTAATACCAACATTACCGTTGTTTTCTTTACTTTTGTTTCTGAAGATACTTTTATAAAATAGTCGAGGTCTTGATCATACAGAACTTTTTCACTATAGTCAAGGAGTGCGTAATGGACTTGGAAACTATATTCCGCTTGTCCATATTTATTGGTTTCTAACCCAATCTATCTGTCATCTTACCTCGTTTTCCGCTGTTACAAGAACAAATCGTTTAACGATTCGTGCTGTTCTTACATTGTTCTACAATGAAATATAAGATCGTATCTCCGACGTATAATATCTTTATGTATGCATAAACATTAAGGTCGTGACCAACATTTTGTTCAGCAAGCGTGCAGTGGATGTGAAATATTTTGTATTTAAAAAGCTTTACGGTCACAAACGAAAATAGAAAAGTCATCTCTTTTATTTAAAAAGCTGTTTGCATCGTTAATTGGTGAAAAATATGTTCCGCAAATGTTTTTAAAGCTAGTATTTTCTCGGTCAGAGTTGTTTGGTGTGGTCGTGTTCACGTTTTATTAAAAATATGTTTTATTTCGCGAAACATTGAACTAAGTAACGAATAGTGGTTACTGCTGTTTTAACTTTAGTATTATAATTTCTCTCATGCATAAGCTTCAAATGAAATCGGATTGAACAGAAAGCGTGCGTATCAGTTACAGCGAACCCACTACCGCTTGCTATGAACGGCTTTCATTGAACAAAATCGCAATGATATATTACGACCACATCTAACGGAGCATATCGCGGTACCAGGAACAGTATCCGGCACAATTCTGAGCTACAGCTTTGCAATTAGTCACTCGATCCACTAATGCTTGCATTTAAACGCGGAAGTGCAGCAGGAATCCATACTCTAAATATAAAATGCCCTGGTTACACTCAGTAATGGTTTGCCGGTAAATGGACTTGTCTTGTTCAGTCCTGGCGAAAATAGATCAAGTCTCGAGTGGTAGCTTAGAAATAATTTCTACCACAGTTATTGCTACATAACATTTTAAAACGGTCACACCAAAATCTGTCTAGATTTTGTGTAATTTTAAACATAGCCAGCTCACGACCAAGTCATTTACATGGAAAATGTAAAATTAAAACCTAACTTTGAGGTCTTTCAACACTAATTGATGCTAAGTGCGACTTTTTGAACGTTTGAGCAACTGAAAATCTGACTAGGAGTTCTCTACGGACCATGTAAATGAATGCGCATAATATGGAAGTTACCCAAGCATAGTTCACTTGCTAATTTCTAATGAAAAAGAGTTTTAGTGCTAGAAAGAGTATAACTGCAAGGCAAGGTATTGCATAACTTCCTACTTCGTCTTCACTTAATGTTTAAAGAGATAATGGTGAATTATCTAGAATTGTAGTCTGTTAATGTACATAATGACAAACTAGTATAATTATGATGTTTTAAGAAAGAAATTGGACTCTGTAGTACTAGATTTCCAGCAATTTTCAATTCCTTCTTACCTTACTTTAACTCGTCGAGTACCGGTTTTGTAGACACAATTATAGAACAATAGGTTGCGGTCACCGGTGACCGCTTGGTGTTTGACAGTTTAACCGTGATCGATCCACCAGCTATTTGTTTGCTCCACTTTTTGAGGGACGTAGTGACGAATATTTTTCCTGTTCGTTTCAATAAATCTGTTGTTTCCTTGTTTCAGTTCGCAACCTGCAGCATAATAGGGAGCCATACGCCGCGGCGGAAAGACGGGTGCGACACGCACTCGTGGTATGTATCCAATATCCAAGTTTATTAAATCCTTTAGATGTAGTGATTTTCAGAGACTTAGAATTACTACTTAAGCTAAAACATCGTATGATCCAGAAACCGTATGACTAAACCTCACATTAACAAAAATTCTCAGGTTAATATCAAAAGAAATTAAGTTTCCCGTCGAAAAACATTTCATTAAATTCATCTCACAAAACAGGTATGCTGAAATATGATAATTTTTCCAAATTATAAAGTCACTTTCGGAATATAAATTAACCGCGTAATTTTCCTTGTATCCACGGTGGTTTTGATTTCATTTTTAGTTGAACTTAAATTTCCATCGCTTTAGTATTTTATTCTGCTATTATTAACAACGTTTTCATTTTCCTTACGTCTGTTTCTACACGATTCTGTTATAACTTCTCCGTCCCCGTTGTGTTTGCATACTGTGACATCAGTATCTGCTAGTTCCGATTTGTGTTCAATGTTAACAATAAACTGAGAGGCTTCTGCAGTAGCCTATCTACCTCGTCCGTTATGCACATCGCTTCTGACACACTCCGCAACAGTTACTCACTTACCGTTGATACCTTCACCACTCGTATTTCAACTGTCGATACGTCAACTCTTTTTGTGTCCACCGTTCAGATCCGATGACACATTTTCAATCCCAATTCGATTTCTCTTTTGTATCCATTTATGCTTTTAAGGTTATTCGATTTTATTGTTGCATGTCTGATTGATTACTTTAAATTGTTTGTGATTTATGGCATTATTTTAAGGAACTGTTTTAATAAACTATCCTAATTGCATTGCGGTCGAATGTATTATTTTAAGAATCGACTATGTAATGTTCAAGATCTTTAAATGGAAATTAATTTTAACATTACAGCGATCCCTCTGTAATAGATTCAAGTATAAAATAAGACCTTTGTTCATGCATATCACGTCCACGGTCAGAATTGTGCCGAGGTTCCCGCAAATCGAATTAAGCCACGTCTGTACTCGGTGAAGGTATAACGGAGCTTCCATTTAGATTGCACTAACAATGCACGGAGGGTATGTTCGATTAGACGAATATCGATTACAATATGTCGACTGCACGACGTAATCCCTCGATCGTATCTCGTTTACAGACATACGAGTGCAGTCATTTAAAATACAAGATAAAATGAACTGATCCGCAGTAACGTGGATATCTCGCCGTCCATTATTCTAGATCGGATTTGGATGAAGATTAGTTTCGCGGTAATAAAGATTTAAATTGCGGAAATTGTGTGAGATTATTCTCGACGGCCATCCCAAAAGAAAGAGACTATAATGGCGCTATAAAACAGAGACGTGTTTCTATAGCAGCAACTTGACAAAAAGGCTAATGAATAATTGCATTGAAGTACGTACGTACCACCGTATTGTTGGAAACGTTTACATCAAATGACTAATTGAAAAATCAAACGACCAAAAGAAACGTTTAATTTTTAGGTTAAGTGCTATTGGAAAAATAATTCCCTATGAAATTCTTTCCAAGAAATAATAAGTTTTCTTTCTAACTGACTTCGACTGGCGACGCAAAGCAATTAAGATTTGCTCGAAATGCTAGAGATTGTGGAATTTGTTCCCGGCAAACCATCCAATTAAATTTCATCATCATCAATCTGGTGGAGCTGACTGCACATCACAACATAAAGCCGGTTGAAAACCAAATCCAATTACAAGAACGACCCGTTCAGCTCAAAACACGTCCAATTTATCACAATCTCAATGAAGTTTCTCAAATATGATTTCTATTACGAAATCAAATAGAGTTCTATCAGATCGCTCTTTTAAGACTCGGAAATGGAATCGATAACTTAAAAGGCTTGCAGTGATACGTCACTCGTGTGCTCGAAGATGCCTTGAAATGCAGAATGTGTTTCCTTTCAGTGAAGGCAGCTCTTGAGATAGTAAATAATTTATAACCGTTCAACTTGGATGATTAAAACGTGGGCAGTCATTGGATGTTAACGTCAAGTTAATTCAGTTTTATCTCTAGTTGTAATAAAACGTCACATTGGTCTGTTTAAGAACAATGGACACGTAGAGCTTAAGTTTTAAAAAGTCAGTCATTGTTATTTCGTAGTTAAAGCGAGCACCACTGTCAGAATGGATTAATCTAGTTAATTCTGTAGTCCCACTGCTATAGGTGATTGTTTAAAGTGACGTTATACATACATTTGCGGTTTCTGGTCCCTCTCTGTAACTGCAATCAATTAAGGGTGTACTGCACGTTGGAAACTAGTTATTCGAATGGTGCTTATGTGTAGTATATATTGTTGGGCCTCGTGTGACACTGTCCTGCGTGCTTACGGTTTAGTTTGGCTTAGTTGCAACTTTGTGAGACAATGGCTGACACTATTAATGTTGGCTGACTGAATAGTGACGCTATTGAAAAGTCGAGTTCCCACTTTGACGTTGCTGGTTTTATCGAACGTGCTCCATCGTTTGATGATCGAGTTGTGTCATAGTTTTATAGACTTTTAGAAGCTTTTGCTGTATCTTTATTGCAGCTTCTTTATCTTAAATCCGAATCTATCTTTTATCTTGTTGTCTAAACATTAATTTGAATTAATGGCTTGCTAAGTCGCAAGTTTCTATTCCCACGGCATATATTTCTATTTCGTCACCAAGGACTACTAAAAGGGGTGTCATTGAACTTAAATTTCTTGAAAAGCTTTCTTTGTTAATATCTGTAGTAAAAACCCTACAATTTACTTTTATAAGAAATGTTATAACACCTTAACTGCGTGCGTCATGGTCTACTGAGTTTCTGGAAAGTTCTATGAACCCGATTTTTTTGATTTGAAGTGTTGTAAGATTGTTTTCAATTGAACACGTTTTTCCACTTTGTTTTTTTTCAATAGCATGTTTTTTATACCTGTGCAATTCTATCTCATTTATGGAAAAATTTCAAAGTACACCCTAATAGTCTCGATAATGTTGTTAATTTACCGTACTGTCTGTTTTATTGTTATGGAAGCATGTTGACTTGAAGAGTCCGTCTATTATCAACTAAGTTATAATTATTCGGTATGAGTTCCACGTCCATAGATTACTTAATAGCGCTTTATAAGCATGATCAGTACTCCTTACAGCTGGCGCTTTGCCTACGAATGACAATTACCTCATAGAAGTGACGAATTGCCGAAAATAAACACAGAATTTTTATAGTATCCGGGCGCTTTACTACGAACGATAAAAAGCTAAATAAGAAATTCGCAATAAATATTTCCTTCACTCCAACATTTTCTCCATTAAAAACCCTCGGCAGTACTTCAGTATAAAAATTACCGATTTCTGAACAGTTAACGCCAGTTAACCGACCCCACGTAACCCACTTAACGCAATTTATATAAGGATTTAATATAATTAAAACGCACCCGTTTTGTGTTGAACCTAGGCTAATTAACCGGCCAGAATGCCCTTTATGGATTTAACTTTTTCATATTGTTCAGCTCGACTAAAAACAAACTGTCGATCGTTCAACTTTTAATGAAGCCAGCCGCCTTATAACGGCTAGAAGTAGCTTAAAGAGGAACGTTATCTCAGTTTATTTTTGGGATAATAGATTAAGAAAACTGTTCCATAAAATGAAGAGACTCCGAGCCGAAAAGTCAACGTGAGGGACACGTTTTTAAGAGCGAGCTGACAGAAAAGGGTCTTTACTAAACGACTTTCTGGAGACTTCCATTTTTAGTTCGAATTGCATAATAGGAACCATACTCCTCTTTTATGTTTCACCATATCCAAAATGTACGTTTAAATTTAGCAACAAATTCTACCGCTATTCTAAACAGCCTCTGTTAGCTTTGACTAACTGACGACATTCTATCCGGTTTGTCAGCGCAAACATAAAATCCAATATCCATTCTCTGCCTGATCACAACACCCGACCGTGATGACACCTATCAAATAGACCAACAAACAAATAGGATCTAGTCCAGTTTGCATTTATATTAAGTTTCCCAGCTCTGACAAAGTAATATAATCAAAAACTTAGTTCTGGTCAGGCCAGCTCTCGGCGTGCGAGTCCTGATTAGTTCGCCTCGGTTTAACTGAACCGACACGTGACCCGAATGTTTACGACACACGTTAGCTCATATTGATCCCCGGGTCTATGAGCAAGTAATTTGATATAAAGCCTTTGGAAAAATGTTCGCGCATTGTTTTACACTTCTTTATTTCTTGCTTCTATCCTTACCGCTTACAGTGTTGAAATAAAAAGGCTTATAAGTCATGCAGCTTTTAAATACGTTTATTCATTTCAATGGTCATTTCTATCTAAAAACTATTTTTCTAATTGAATACAGATAAAACCCGTCTATCTTATTTTGGGTCTATCTAATTTATTATCGGTCCAACATTCAACCTTTTTGAGTCACATCTAAAACAGATCAAAAGCTTTTGTGCTGCTTTTATCGTGTCTTTTGGCAATCGGTTTTCATCCCCGATTTTCCCATTACAGGGACACACATCTAGGCCGCATAGCGGTAGGGCGGCACAGCGGTAGGTACATTGGTAGGGAAGCAGGGCTGGCAGTCACGAGATATACTGATTAGCGGTGACACGGACCGGCTGCGGCGGCCGTGCGCTGAATACACTAGCAATCTCCTTTTAGTTCCGAACTCCTGGTACGTCAATGTGATATTCGATTGCTTGTGGATTTCAAATTGGTTCTTTCCCGTATTTTTATCTTGGATATTGATACGTACGTAGGGAGATACAAATAATATACCGTTCGACGTTGATAATAACCGTCCATCATTCCCTTTCATAAGACTTGGAATTATTTTCATGAAATATTGGAAAAGCGACGCTTGTTATTATATTTTTTGTTGATAAAATATTTTCTTCCATAGCTTTCGATTCCAATTAAAATTGCCAATGGCCGATTGGAAACACCCGCTTCATTAGTTCAAAATGCGATTCTGCTGTTACACGGCTCGTCTGTCAGCAAACAGAGTTGCCATTTAAATATC